TCAGCGCTGCCGCTGGCCAGGCCGACGGTCCGCGGCCGCCCCGCCGCTTGCCGGGGTCCGGCCTGCAGGGAAGAACGGTATACCCCCAAGGGGGGTACGATCGAAAACGAAGAGGGCGGGTATAGAAGGTTTTTGGAAAAATACGCGTTAGCGGACACTCGAGCAGATGAGGGGGGGCGATCAGTGCCGTCCTCTGGGCCCCTAGGGGGGCCCTTTCGGCCCCATCAATGGGGGCCCTGTCGAGCCCGAAAAGGAATCCTTCTGGGGCCCTTTTTGGGTCCCCCTGATGGCTTTGTAGGGTCCAGAGCTTTTTAGGGCCCCTCAAGGACCCAGCGAGGGCTGCAAAGGGGCCCTGTAGGGTCCCCAAAAGGAACCGTTTCGGGCCCAAAAGGGGGATTTTAGGGCCAGAGAATGGCATTTTCTTCCCCCCCTCATTTCTCGCCCCCCCATCAAGCGTTGCCGAAGAAAACTGGAGGGCCCCTTTCCTTCAGAGTCCGCTTCCTCAGGCGATAGCAGGCGTTACTGGGGAGGGCGTGGGCGGACAGTAACGTCCGTTCGCTGTTGCCGTCTGGGAGCGCCCAGGAATAACCACACAGTTCGGAGGTCAGCACGAATCGTGACCTTACCCGGGGTGGGTGGCCGGTCGGGGCCGGTAACAGCCGCTACCGAGAGAGATGCATCTTTCTATGGGTGAAACGTAAGACTCGAGTTAGCTGGAACTCGGGTGAACCGACGTTTTTGACTAGCGCGTCCTGGAACTTGACGGACGGTCCGGTTTTCCTGGGACGTCAACAAACAGGCGGGAGCTCGCGTCCGATTTCAGATTGGGTCCTGGCATTTTCGTGGCGACCCCGCCAGGCCAGCCCGAGTCCCCAGTACCCGATCCGTGCGTCTCCCCGAATCCAGCTGGCGCCCACGGCCCCGCGGGGCCGAGGGCGGCCCCGCCGCCAGGGCCACGCCCAGGGGCGGCGGGGGGGGGGTGGTGCGGGGGCCAGCGGCGGGGGTCCGACAGGGCGCCGGCGGGGCAGGTCGCTGGCGCACGACCTCTGCGGCGTGGTGGGCGACGTGCCCGACGCCCGCGCCTCGAGGGGGGGGGGGGGCAGAGGGGGCGCCGCGCCCAGGGGGTGGCCTTAGAAACGCTGGGGGCGTTTTTGTTCGTTTGTGTACTGCCCCCCCTCCCCCCGCTCTTTCGCGGTCAAGATCGACGTTTTCTTGTGAGTTCTGGGCAGCGTTTTTTCTGCGTTTTCGGGTGCGTGATTGGCCCGTGGCCCACCTGCTCGTTTTCTTTTTTGTTTCCCAGGCGTCTTTCCAGAATACGGTTTGAGGTATCGCAGTGCTGCTTGCCTGACGTCCACATTCCAGGGCGTCGTTCTTGCAATGTCTTGGTCGAGCCAAGAGCGACATGTGGACAACGGACAAAGAAACGCCCTCGTTGTTCTCAAGAGCAGCAGAGGGGGCGGGGGGAAGGGGGGCTGCGCCTTCCGGCGCGCCCCTCGCGAGGATCGTGGGCCGCTGCCCCTGGCCCAGGGGGCGAAGCCAGCCGCTCATGCGACCAACAAGACGGGGGGGGGGCCGGTGGAGGGCGAAGGCCCTGCGCGGCCGGAGCCGAGACCCCGAGAGACCGCCGGAAGAGCCGGTGGGCCCGAAAGACCCTCGCCCCTCTCGGCGTTCCCTGCGCCTCCGGGTCTGGTGGATCGAGCTGGGCACTGCGAGAACTGAGAATGGGGACGCAGAGCAGCAGCAGCAGCAGCTCCTGTCCACTCTGAGCAGGCTTTGCCGTCGGCGTCGACGTTGGCGTGGTGCGTTCGAGGCGAGCAGCAGCCTGCCCAGCAGCGGCCGCGGTCGGTTTTGGGCAGCGCTTCTTGCTGGGCTTCGTGCCCACAGTTCTCCCCCGCACCCATCCCTGGCGTGCCAATCGGGGGAAGGGATCAGAAGAACAATCAAACATTAGTATGGGGACGACTTTTGAATCATTTTTGCATATTTTGGAATATTTGCTTTAATTTGTTCGAGCCTTTTTTTTTTTTGTTGCTTTTTCCTCCCAAGTCCGCCTGTAGGGGGGACATGCCCGACCGAAGGCAAGGGGCGGCGGCGCGCCTCGTGCACGCCAGCGCCGCAGCCCGGCCCCGGGGCTCGCAGGAGGGGGCGGAGGTGCCGCGGGGAGCCCGTCCTGGCAGGGAGGGGGAGATCGGCGTCGCGGCGTCACCCCAGCATACACCTTAGGCGATGCTTAAGAAAACCCAAGTTTTCGGCCAGAGTCTCGATTATTCTTAACGTTTCAGTGTAAATCCTAAGATTTTAACAGAATTGTTGGGTTCTTATTCAAGTTCTGAGACTATGAATTTCTTAACCCATGATTTCTTAAGCATTTCGCAGGGTGTACTTGTACTACATGTGCGTCGCCCCCATCGGCACCGCCTGTACTCCGCACCCTCTGGCCGCCTGAGGCCCCGCCCGCCCGCGCCCCGTCTCTCCACTTAGTGCTTCGCGCGCCCCGCCTAGCTCTTAAGCGGAAGAGGCCCGCTCTCGACCCGCCGACCAAAAATGTGCGTCGCCCCCTCATGGGCGAGCGACGCGCGCACCGAGAAATCGTATAGTGTATGCGTCGTGGCGGTCGCTTTCTGGTCATACCGCTCGGGAAACGATATACTACGGGATGGGTATACTGTGTGTTCGGGTCGGAAGCGCGCCTGCAAGGAGGACATACAGTATGAGTATGTCTCTGTACGTCCCAGGAGAGTTGAGACCACGGCGCTGGGTTGGCCTTCCAGGGCTATGATGTTCCAACCTTTTTTGGCCTTGACCACCAGAAAGAATTTCGAGCACCAGGAAAGTGCCGAAACTTGAGGGTTTTCGCGTGTCGGGCCCTGGGATGCGAAACTTGTTCGACACTATTTCGATACTTTCTGGGTGCTCGGAATCATTTCTGGGATGTGGTCCTTAAGTACGACGGGAGCAATCTAATTCCAGGGGCCCCATTGTCGCCACGGCTGGACGCAGCTGGGAACCTGGTGCGTTCGGAGCCTGGGTGGGGTCCGAGGCCGATCTTGAGCCGTCGTTTTATCAGTGCGCCCTGGTCTGATCTTGGCGAGGTGTCCCCGGATTTCTGCTCCATTTTGGGGCCCCCAGGGCCCTCTGGGCATCGTGAGGGTGCTCCGGAGGCTGTGGGAGCCTCTTTGGAGATCTTTGGGACACCCTGGGCCAGGGACATTTCTGGCAACACCCGAGAGGGGGGGTGCGGTGGGCTCTTGTCTTGTCGACGCGGCGGCGACCCCAGCGCGGGCGTTCAAGGTTGAGCGCCGCCAGTGTCCCAGAAGCGGCCCACGTCGAACGATCTGCGCTGTCGGAAAGCCGAGATCTTTAAGGCTGAACGATCCACGCGGTGTCAAGTCAAAGATCAGCGCCGACGTGGTCATGATACGAGCATTCTGAATAGCCTAAGGTGGGTTTAGGGTGGGAACCCATTTGGAAGATTAGATGTCCTCCAATTCAGAGGCAGGTCAGTGCGATTCTCCTCTAATCCACCTCCTGGTCGTAGCCCTCGTTTTCCGAGCACCCGACGAGTCGGCGTCGGCCATCCTGTGGTTCGAGGGTAGAGTTTTGCTGGCATTTTTTTTTTTTAGAGGTCGCCAGAGCGCTCCAGGGACGCGAGGGTGTTTCCGAGGATCTCGGGTGGGCTCGCGCGCCTCCTTCCCCGGACCTCATGATGTCGCGTAAAAATCAGGTTTTTAATGATGTGTTGACAAACTGTTCTCACTTGGCTTCTGGGCGGCCGTCGAAAGTGACTCAGGATGAAAAGCTGGTCCCAGGGAAGAGGTCTAAACCTCTGGGGGCCACAGAGAGAAAAAAGACGCCAGAGGGTCTGGGGCTCCTCCAGAGCAGATCAGCGTCGGGCGATCTGGTACCTTCGGGCACGCTGGCTGTCACCATGAAGTGAAGGATTCCTGAAGAGAAGGTTTCTTATGGTAGAGCTCCTACTGTAGAGTGGAGGGGTCCTGGGGCGTTTCGCCGTTTTCGGCATCCTGGGGGCCCTTCCCGGTCCCTGGGAGCGCCAGGAAACTGCTCGGGATGAAGAGCCAGTGCAGGGGAACGCTCTGGGGTCCAGGAAACCCCTTGCCTTCGGCCCCCCCCCCTCATGCTACTGGTGAAGCATCAACGACGGCATCACTACCCACGGCACGCATACAAAACGACTCCGACAGCAAGGATGCCTCTCCCTCCTCCCTCCCTCCCCTCTGATGCACCTATTTTTTTAAAATGTGTCTCGAATGCATGCTTAACCACACACCGCAGTATCCTGGCGCCGCGGCGCCACCGCTCCGCTCCCAGAGTGACAACGGGCCCCGGCGCGCACGCGAGCGTCCGTCTCATGCCACCGGTGCGAGGACGGGGGCGGCAAATAGGGGGGTGATGACTAGGGGGGGTGGATATCATGGCGTGGGCCATGGTATTTCCCCAGATCTCATGGCGCCTCTTCTCATTTCGTTACGTCCCTGGCCCCCCCGCTGGGCCGCGCACATGCCGCCGGTCATGATTTGCACCCCCCCTCTTGGACACCCCCCTCTTGGCCGCTCCCGAGTGAGGACGGGGGAGGAAACAGCGGCTCTGTGTGCTGGCGACCGCTGCGTGCCCAGTGGGCTGGACGGCGGACCTGGCGGTCGGAGTGGGCCCCGCCTGTCCGCACCAGCAGGCCGTGCGCCCCGGACACTCGTCGCCTCCTTGGAAGGTGCGGGCACGGCAGGTCGGGCGTCCTCCGTCGGCGCGCCGTTCGGCTCGAGGCCCGTCGCGCCCGACACCGCCCCCCCGCCGTGCCGTGCAGCTCGTGCCTGCCTCTGCCGTCCTCTGCAGCAGGTGCCCGCGGCTTGTTTCGTTCGGGCCCGATGCTGCAGGTGCAGGACAGCCTGCGTGATGGTGGCCTTGATCTGCGGGCACTTGCGAACCCTACCCATGCGGGTCCGAACGACGCTGGAGTACTGGACACCCGCGCTGGGCCTCACTTGGCTGCAGACATCCTTCAAGTTCTGAAGCCCAGCCGGTTTTTCAAACATCTGACCTGCAGGGGTAGGGTTCGCACGTGGTTGCCCATTTGAGGCGCCTTGTCCAAGGCCGTGGTTCGTACGCCTGTGCGTATACCACACTAGTCTGGGGCATGGCGCAGGGCACGACCGACAGTGGATTTCTGGGACCGTCTCTCAGTCAGACAGAATGTGGTCTCCAGCTGCGCCCAATGTCTGGCAATGGGTTCGTACCCATATTGTCTTGCGAGAGATCGCAGGACATACTTTCGAACTTACGACGATTGAGGCGAGCTCGCATCGCGAAGATCCACGCCGCACGGCCAATATCCGCATTAGTACACAGTCTATGGTGGCAGTGCCCCTTGAAGGACTTGCGCTGGCCCCCCATATTAGCGTTCGTTTGGTCAGTCGGTCGACAGGTATAGGTATGTACACAATTTCGCAACCAGGCGGATGATATTGCAGTCTCATCTTCAACAACAGGTCTGTGATCGTCATACGCAGTGGTACCCCGCCCAACAAGCTAACTAATTGAGATGATTCCGTGCAAGTAGAGATGCTGCCAGCTTTCAATTGGGTCGAGTATGCGAAGGACAGTGGCCGCGCTTGTGTTCTCCACGGTTGCCTCACCACAATCATTTGCTGGATACGCACTGCACATGTCTAGCTAAGTCGGAGGCACGTGTAGTGCAGGAGGCGTTACTTGCAGTTGTTCGCGTCTTCGTAGGGAATTCGTTCAATATTATTGCTGCATTAGGACCGCTGCTCTTTCTGTAGAAGCAGGAAGAGTTGAATGCGCGCGGCTGAGGAGTTGATAACTGGTGCAATGACGAGTGGCTAGTTATCTTGGAGCAGTGTTGTGATCCATTCGTTCAAAGACGGGGAGGGCGGAACATGAGGGGATGGAGGAGGGGAGGGGAGGGCAGCGAGGACGAGGAAAGATACGGTTATGGTGACGGTGATTGGTGTTGCTGGTGATGCTGCTGCTGATGATGACGATGATGCCGATGATGCTGATACTGATGATGCTGATGATGCTGATGAGGATGAGGATGAGGATGAGGATGAGGATGATGATGATGATGATGATGATGATGATGATGATGATGATGATGATGATGATGAGGATGAGGATGAGGATGATGATGATGATGATGATGATGATGATGATGATGATGATGATGATGATGATGATGATGATAAGAATGACGTGGAGGAGGAGGAGGAGGCGGCGGACGGGGATTCATCAGGTGGACCAGCGTAAGGATGGGGGAGAATGAGGGGGAAGAGGAGGGAAACGATAACGAGGAGGATGAGGATGACCAGTGTGAACCCAAGACTCATCAACGATGTTGGAAAACACACTCCCTCCAAGCTCCCTCTTCATAGGCATCATACATGGGTTCAGTTCCACTGGGGGAGCTGTTCGTTGGCAGACAACCGTTTGAAGACCCTGAAGCGTGCCAAAACACCGTTCTCGGGATTCCAACGCCAAGGACCAACCTGACTGCTGCGTCTAGACGATTTTGATTAGTGCCAGAACACCATTTCTGGGACTTCAACGCTGCGCATCAATGTAATTGTCGGACCCTCGCAATCTTGAGGCTTTCCAGAACAACATTTTGGTACGTCGGCCATAGGAATCCTTGAAACTCTGGTAAACATTTAAGGCGAATGTGCGCGGCGCTAAGGCGAGAACCACATTTTGCAAACGAACCGCCCTTGCTCCGTGAAGCTGTTTCAAAGTTTTGAGGCACATGTGCGCGGCGCGAAGGCGAGAGCCACATTTTGAAAAACAGCCGCCCGCAATCCGTGAAGCCTTTGCACATGTTTGAATCGACTGTGCGCGGCGCAAAGGCGAGAGCCACATTCCAGAAGCGACTCGCCCTCAATCTGTGAAACCCTTTAATTTCTAAGACGAGTGTGCGCGGCGCAAAGGGGAGAGCCGCATTTTGAAAACCACTCGCCCTAACCCCGTGAAGCTGCTCCAAAGTTTGAAGAGGAATGTGCACGGCGCTAAGGCGAGAGCCGCATTTTGAAAATCACCCGCCCTCAATCCGTAAAGCTCTTGGGTTTTTTACAGACGAATGTGCGCGGCGCAAAGGCGAGAGCCACATTTGGAAACGACCCGACCTGAATCCGTGATTCTGTTGCAATTTTGAAAACGAGTGTACGCGGCGCTAAGGAGAGAGGCACATTTCGGACGCGACCCGCCTTTCATTTGTGAAGCTTCAGGGTCATAAATGGTGAGGAAGTCTCAAGCGAAGCGCTTGGCCCGCCCTTTCTACCAGCCTCGTGGTGTGACAGGGAGGATTTTCTGTAAAGGAAAAGGAATGGAGGAGGTGGAGGAGGGGCCAGCCGCGGCCCAGCCGAGGCCTCCGCCCCCACGCTGCTGTACGCCATGGCGTGCCTGGAGTGCCTCCCCCCCCAGGCCGCCCTCTGCCCTCTTGGCTTGGGCGTCGCGTAAGGGGGGGGGCAGTGAATTGGGGGGCAGCGAGCGCTGAAAAAAAGCGGCCCTTCAGGGCCCAAAGGGAACGAGAAGTGCACCTCTCTCTCTCTCTCTCCCCCCCTTCTACGTCGCCCCCCCATTATATGCACCGCCTACGTGGCGGCCCGCTCCCCGCTGCCGTGGGGGGCGTTCGTCGCGTCGACGCGGCGGCGACGGCACCGCGGGCATTCAAGGCTGAACGCCACCTGCGGCCCTTCGTCCAACGTTGCACGACCCGCTCTCTTTGGAGCCGCCTGGACGTCTGAGGTGGCCCAGCACTGGTTCCGGCAGGGAGGGCGGGCAGGTTCGAGGCTTTGGGTTCGGGAAGGTTTTTTTTTGCGTTCTTCGTCTTCCTGCCCCGGGGCCGTGAAGAGTTGATCTGGGGTGAAAAAGTGCACCAGATGGACTCCGGGAGGGCTCCAGGGACCGATTTGGAGCGGACTTGGTCGCCTCCCTCCGAGGCGGGAGTTTATCCATGACCACCGCGTGGAGGGTCAGTTTTCGGAGCCTCGGCAGGCGGTGGATATGGACATATTCGGGCCCCCCGGGGGCCGAAATATATCCATATCCACCGCCCGCTGGGGCACCAGGACGTCGGTTCCCAGGCGGTGGATCTGGATAAATCCCTGCCTTGCAATCCCCCCTCCTGACCGATCTTCTGGGATCCCCACCAGCTCAGACCCCCTGGCCGCCTCTGGTACCCTTTCGGGCGGGCCATGATCGCTCGAGGTTCAACGATCCACGCGGTGCCGGGAGCCCACAACGGCGTCGCCACAGCACGAGCCTGCTTCTGCACGCACGAGATGGGCACGGAAAGCATGGGTACAATGCCCAACAGCAGTTCCTGTTCATTTTGAACAGGGCCCGCTGTCCGCGCGGCCTGTGCCCATGTGAAGCAGAAGGCCGCCTGCCCAACAGTGGCCGCTGTTGGTTTGGGACAACATGTGTTGTTGGGCATTTCAAGTAGGGGATCGACTACAGAATTGATTTACCCCAAAATTGATTTCGTCGTCGGAACTAGGAAGGAATACGCAGAACGTCCCTGGATTTCGACGTGATCCTTCGTAGATCCGACGGAAAAAACAATTTTGGGGTAGATCAATTCTGTAGTCGATCCCCTACTCGAGCATTGTACCCATTCTTCCCGTGCCCATCTCGGGCGTCCAAACCGCTGCGGGTCCCCCCCCTGGAGGCGCAGAGATAAACTCTCAGGAGAGGAAACAACACACAGACAATTCATCCTCGATTCCCCAGAAAATATGGGAAAATATGGGAATCGGGGGGGAAGACAGAAACCCAGAAAATATGGGAAAATATGGGGAGTATTTTTATTTGTGTGTATTTATTTGTGTGTCCTGGGGCCCCTTCAATTTCGGGCGTCCAAACCGCTGCGGGCCCCCCCCCGGAGGCGCAGAGATAAACTCGCGCCCCTCGCGTCGCGGCTCGGGCTGGCGAGGCGCCCTGCTCCAGGGCGGCGGCGCGAGGGCGCGCGGGCCGCCGCGCGCCGCGGGGCGCGGGGCGCGGAGGCATGGGACCTGGCTGCTCCCTCCTCTCGTCGGCGAGCCTCCTCTCTTCCTCCTCCTCCTCCTCCTCCTCCCTCCTCCCTCCTCCCTCCTCCCTCCCTCCTCCCTCCTCCCTCCTCCCTCCTCCCTCCCGGGGGGGAAGGGAGAAGGAGGAGGCCCTCGCAGAGGGCTCGGAGGTCCCCCGGCCTGCTGGCAAGCGCTCTACGCTGCTTCCGGACGACGCAGAGGCCTCGAGGGTTCGTGGTATGCGTGCTGGGCAGCAAGCGAGCAGGCGAGGGCGAAACAGTCTTACCAATGTTGGTCGAATTTTCATTTCGACAGTGACTATTGTAGATCCCCCCGGTGACCATTGTGCATTTTTAGTGACACTGCTCCTCCTGGGGCTCGCACCCTTTTTTATCAGGGAAAGTTTAGGATCACCACACTGCGCCCCTGGCCCCCGAATTACAACAACGGTGGCTCCCGCTGGATATTTCGTCATCATTTGTTTGAAATTCGCGCTCTCGCACGGGACTTCCTCATAATGGATGCAGGAATCGCGCTCTCGCGTGATTTCTTGCGGCGCCCGTGTCCCGAAGACTCACAAATCGTGTTCCCTCTGTAGGTTTCCTAATCATTTTACTTTGGGACAGCGTAATTGCTCGAAACTTCCTTCATGATGGGTTCACGCTTTAGCGACCCGCCCGCTCGACCTGGCCGTCAGGGCCCGCCCAGCCAAGCTGCCCGTTAGGGTCTGCCCGCCCGACACTCCCGTCTGGTTTTGCCGCGTGTGCCTCGTCTCCTAACCCTCTTCCTGCAAATCTCTCTCGTGCTTCATCCTTCTCCCTCTCCCTTGTCTCTTCACTCCTCCCCTCCTTCCCCTGCTTTAGGGGCTGCGCCAACCACACGCGGCAGTTAGGGAAGATATACCCCAAGAGGGGGTTACGATCGAAGACGAAGAGGGCGGGTACCGAGGGTTTGGGATTTGCGTGTTGAATGGCACGCGAGCAGAAAATGATTGTTGCTGTGGTTGCTCATTTTTAACTTTGGAATCTAAGTATTGTTGATCTCCCCTCTCCGGTGACCGTTGTACTGTTCGATTGCCAGTTGGGTGCGGCAGTTCGGCTAACCCCTCCTGGATTCTTCGTGACGACGGTGTTCGGAAGGTTTTTTGGATGGTTTCGGAAGGTTTTTGGAAGGTTACGTGGAAGGTTTTTGGAAGGTTTTTTGGAAGGTTTTTGGAAGGTTACTTGTAAGGTTTTTTTTAAAAGGTTTTTTGAAGGTTTTTGGAATGTCTTGGGAGTTTTCGCTAAATGTTGGAAGTTTTTTTGGAAGGTTTGTGGTCGGTTTTTTGAAGTTTTTGTTGGAAGGTTTTTGGAAGGTTTTTGAAAGGTTGTTTGGAAGGTTTTTTGAAGGTTTTTGAAAGAAACATCGAATAAACCTTCCAAAAGCCCGCGTCACGAAGAATCCAGGATTCCTGGAACCTTCCAGAAAACCTTCCAGACACCCTCGTCACGAAGAATCCAGGATTCCCGGAGCCTTCCAAAAAGTTTTACGAAAACCTTCGTTACGAAGGTTTTTTGGAAGATTTCTTGGCCAACCCCTCTTGGATCCTTCGTCAGGTTTTCGGAAGGTTTTTTTTGGAAGGTTGTTGGAAGGTTTTTGGAAGGTTTTTTGAAAGGGTATTGTACGTTTTCTTTTGGAAGGCTATTGGAAGGTTATTTGGAAGGTTTTTTTTGTTTGAAGGTTTTTGGAAGGTTTTTGGAATGTGTTGGGCGCTTTCGCTGAATGTTGGAAGGTTTTTTTTGATTGTTTTTGGGAGGTTTTTTTTGACGGTTTGTGGAAGGTTGTCGGAAGATTTTTGGAAGGTTTGTGGGAAGGTTTTTGGAAGGTTTTTGGAACAACTTTCCAAAAACCTTCGTCACGAAGAGTCCAGGATTCCCGGAACCTTCCAAAAAACCTTCCACAAACAAAAACCTTCCAAAAACCTTCGTCGCGAGGGTTTTGGAAGGTTTTTGGGCCAACCTCTCCTGGATTCTTCGCGACGAAGGTTTTCGGAAGGTTTTTTGGAAGGTTTTTGGAAGTTTTTTTGTTGGAAGGTTTTTGGAAGGTTTTTGGAATGTATTGGGCGGTTTCGCTGAATTTTGGAAGGTTTTTGGAAGGTTTTTTTGGAAGGTTTTTTTGTGCGAGGTTTTTGCTGAAGGTTTTTGGAAGGTTTGTGGGAAGGTTTTTGGAAGGTTTTCGGAAGAGCCTTCCAAAAACCTTCCTTGCCCCCCCTCCCCGGGAAAACGTTCCAAAAACCTTATAACAACAAAAACCTGCCTCACGAAGAATCCAGGAGGGGTTCGTCGGAACTCCCGCACCGGTCTCTCCATTGCAGTGCTCATCCTGGGATCGCACCCAGTTTTAATCAGGGAAAGTTTCAGGGGCTGCGCCAAGTACACGTGGCAGGTAGGGAAGACATACTCCCAATGGGAGTACGATCGAAGAAGAGAGCGGGTATCGAGGGTTCTTGATATACGTATTGAACGGCACGCGAGCAGGTAGGATCAATCAGTCTTAAAATGATTGTTGCTGTTGTTGTTTATGGTGGTTGTGATTGGTTGTGGTGATGATGATGATGATGTTGATGCTGATGCTGATGAGCATGACGATGACGATGGCGATGATGATGATGATGATGATGATGATGATGATGATGATGATGATGATGATGATGATGATGACGATGATGATGATGATATTGATGAGGATGAGGATGAGGATGAGGATCTGTTGATGATGATGTCCAGCGACGGCGATTGATCATGGTAATGATGATGATGGTGGTGGCGGTGGTGCTGATGATGATGCTGATGCTGCTGGCGATGATGACGATGTTGTTGACGATGATGATGATCTTGATGCCGATGATGATGATGACGACGACACTGATGATGGTGATGATGACGTTGATGCTGATGCTGATGATTACGATGATGACGATGCTGGCGCTGACGAGTATGTTGATAATGATGACGATGATGACGACGATGCTGATGATGATTGTGATGATGACCGTACTGATGCTGATGTTGATGATGATGATGATGATGGTGATTTTGATGATGACGATGGAAATGCTGACGATGGTGATGATGCTGATGCAGGTGATGATGTTGTGGTTGCTGTCGATGAGGATGATGAAGATGGATGATGGCCGATGGACGATGGACGATGACGATGATGACGTTGGACGATGACGATTGATTTTGATGATGATGGTGATGATGATGATTATGCTGATGATGATTTTGGTGATGATGGTGATGATGATGATGACGATGATGTTGATGATGATAATGCTGATGCTGACGCTGATGCTGATGATGATGATGATTACGAGGAGGACGAGGAGGAGGACGACGATGACGATGACGACCAAGCTGACGATGACGAAAAAGAAGCCGATGCTGATGATGCTAATGATGATGCTGATGATGATTATGAGGA